GTGTGTGTGTGTGTGTGTGTGTGTGTCAGTCCGTCTATCGATTGATTGATAGGTCGATTGATTGAAAGGTGGAATGAAAATAAAAATAATAACACAATAATGATAAAAAATTGGAGATCTGTCCCAGTGATGTCTAGAACCCCCGTTGGGCACGAGTACACACACACACAGAGAGAGAGAGAGAGAGAGAGAGAGAGAGAGAGAGAGAGAGAGAGAGAGAGAGAGAGAGAGAGATTTGTGCGAGAACGTATACTAGTCTTCTATGTCCACTAACCTACCCTTGGTTTGATCTTTGATTTCTCTCTCTCTCTCTCTCTCTCTCTCTCTCTCTCTCTGTCTCTCTCTCTCTCTTTTCCCCCCCCTTCGTCTTCTCCCTTTATCTCCCCTCATCTCCCGTTCTATCCCTCTCGTCTCTCATTCTCTTCACTTGCCTCTGTCTCTGACCCTCTTCAAGCTCCTCCTCCTCCTCCTCTCTCTCTCTCTCTCTCTCTCTCTCTCTCTCTCTCTCTCTCTCTCTCTCTCTCTCTCTCTCTTCTCTCTCTCTCTCTCTCTCTCTCTCTCTCTGTCTGTCTCTGTCTCTCACGCACGCACATACACACGGTTCGTGGAGTTGTGTGTATAGCGAACATGACAACATACACAAACGAACAGACAAATCAACAGGGACAAACTTCTACACACATATGATAAACAAATAAATGAGAAATTTATAACAGTTTGTCACAGCCCGGGCCGTCGTTTGTTGTCCTCTTCTCCCTCTCTGCCTACGGTTTACCTGGCAGCAGCTCTGTTTTACTATATGTATAAATGCACGCCAGCTGCAGGCTTTAAAGTTGCAGTTTAATTAAAAAAAAAAAAAAAAAGAAGAAGTTGCAGTTGGAATTCTTCGGGCTGCAGGTTTTCAAGCCTCGATGGTATCCCGGCTTTCGAATTCCGCACGTCGTCGCAAGAAACGTCCGCCCCGTCCTCTCCTTCTCCCAGGGCGTGGTCCCACTAGCGAAGGGGATAGGATAGAAATCCTGAATCTGGCTATGTTTTATGCAGAGATACAGAAAAGCAGTTCTATCTCGATTTCCTGCTCCTGTCCTCAAACACGTTCAGATTCAGGCATTCAATCCGATGCTCTCTTGCTAATGGGACCACGGCCCTGGTGAGTACCTCAACACACATCAAAGCCGGCTTGACACCCTAACCCGGGACTAAGTCCCACTTTAGTCTTCCTTTCGATTTGGAGTATCTTTCCACGTGGCCACAGTGTAGCCGTTGAGATGTTCAGATCGGGATGGTAGGAAACGGTGTGTACTCGAAACCAAGTCTGAACCCGCGCTACTGGGATCTGGGATTTAGCCGCCGGGATCCCTTCCAGGCGTGATTTGCTTTTTTGTTCATGAAGCCAGACGTAAATACAGCATGCTTCATAACAGAAAACTTGCGTTTTTTGGATTGACAAGCTAGACCTAAGTGGGGAAAAAAGAAAAAAGAAAAAAAGAGAAAAAAAAAAAAAAAAAAAGACTTGTAAGTTGTAAATGAATAAAAAAACTCAGATTGACCGTTGGCGATTTTTTTGGGTGGGGTGGGGGGGGGGGGGGGGTGGAGGGAGATAATCCGAATAACACGCCTAAACGTGTTTCTTTTTTTTCGCATGGCAGGTCGTAGAGGCGAGACGGCGAAAATACTAATAATTCGTGTTCAATTCCCGATATTAAAAAAAAAAAACAAAAAAAAAAACCGATCTTTCTTGCGTCGAAGAGACAGTCGTACACTCTTTTCTGCATTTTGCATGCCAGATACCTATCCGACGTGTACCAGCCCAGCGCTCTGTGATCTTCCCCTTCCCCCCCCATCGCTCCACTACACGACAAACGAAGACCCAAGTCCTGGTCGGGGTCGGGATCGTGGTCATGCCAGTCAATCACAGAGGTCGTTCTCGGTATTGAACACACGCCATCGTCGTCACAGCCAGAACGATAATGATCATAAAACTGGGAAAAAAAAAAAACAAAAAAAGCAAGAATGATGATGATGATGATGATGATGACGTGGCAGCTGCTGCTGCCACGTTCATGCCACCAGTAGAGAACGTGTAGAAATTCTGGTGCAAAACGCGTCTGACACGTGCAAAATTCTGCTGTGACGAGTCGGGATCGCAGGATGCTAGCCCGGGGCTAGGTCCCACTTGCACGAATTAAGAGATACTGACCGTAGATAGCAAAGATCAACGGCCGAATTTTCCTAATTTGCGCAAGTGGGACCTTGCCCCCGCTGTCGCATTTCCCGCCGACGACGTTCTCCTCAAATGCATGCCTTCTGCTTTTTATTTTTATTTTTTGGGGTCTGCCACGTGTCTGCCGCCTGCGTGTCAGAAAGACGATGACGACATGGCATCTGCTTCCACAAGTGGAATTCCGGCCAACGACGTTATCCTCAAATGCATGCTTTTTTTTTCTTTTTTTTTTTTTTTGAGGGTCTTCCCCGTCGAAAAAGACCTTACCCAGCCCAAATGCATGCTAATCTGTAAATAAGTAAAAAAAAAAAAAAAAAAAATAATTCACGTTATTTTATCTCCTTATCCTTTCCTGAATATAAATAATCGGGGGAATGCTATTTGGCGCCAATAAATTTGGCGGGAATTCATGCGGGGATGGTGCCGCGTTCTTGATGTTGTTATTTTTTTGGGTAACGCCTCCATAAAATTGCCCACCCATTTTTTTTTTTAATCTTTTTCATTTTTTTTAATTTTTTTTCACAAAACCTTGTTACTTAATAGTTAGAATTACAACACAGTTCATCGTGCACTGTTGTCATGATTTATTAATTTTATTATTATTATTTTTTTTAAATGCCGAATATGCGTCTTAGTCGATTGGCGTGTAAAGCATTGCATCCGCTCTTTTGTTCTTTTTGTTTTTTTCACCCCGAAAAGAGCTGCAATCTATTCGTGGGGTACCACTTAAAAAAAAAAAGTGCGGGAAACTGGTATCTACCTTTTTCTCGGCCGAGGTCCCACTAGCAAAGAGGATTGGATTAAGTGCCTGAATGTGGACATGTTTATGGAGAGATGCAGATGATCAGGATTGATTTCCTTTTCCGCATCTCTGCTTAAACCACATCCAGATTCAGGCGCTTAATCCAATCTTCTCTGCTAGTGGGACGACCTCGCCCGTAAGGTTTTTTTTTTTTTTTTTTTTTTTTTTTTGGATTTGGACTGTTTCTCGATTTGTGTCTCATCCTCTTACCTCAGCTAGTGGGGCCTCCTATTGTCTTTCTTCGTTTTTTTCTTTTTTTTTTTTCCAAGTTCCCCTATTACCTTTCCATTGTCGTTCTTTTTCGTATTTTTGTACTTTTTACTGCGGGAAAAAAAAAAACCAGCAACCTCCTTCTTTCTCCGTTATTCCTGTTTCTACTTCTTTTTTTGTTTCTGCTTTTTGTTTCTACTTTTTGTTTCTACTTCTTTTTTTGTTTCTACTTCTTTCTTTAACTAAAGCGTGCTTTGTTCGCAATCACGCTTCCTATCTCCGTCCTCCTGATCTCCTTGTCCCCTTTTTTTTTTGGATAAATCTCCACGTCCCCCTTTTTTTTACTACAGTAAATCTCCATGTTCCCTATTTTCCTCTACCGGAGTCAAATCTATCTGTTACCTTTCTTTGTTCTTTCTCTGGCCCTGCCTTCAAGCCCCTCATGCGTCCTTTATTCTATATATTTAACTCCCCTGTGCCTCTCTCTCTCTCTCCCTCTCTCCCTCTCTCTCTCTCTCTCTCTCTCTCTCCCTCTCTCTCTTTCTCTCTTTCTGTGTGTGTGTGTGTGTGTGTGTGTGTGTGTGTGTGTGTGTGTGTGACTCCCATCCCTCGTTTCACCCACCACACTCCTTCGCCTTCGATGGCTATCTCTACCTCCCCTCCTCACGCCTTTCCCGCCTTCCTCTCTCCTCTCTGTGGTTGTTGTTGACGGAGCCGCCATGTCGATCTGTATTACTTGCAACATCCCGGGCAGGTACAGCTAGCTTATTTTACTTATTATGGTCCTCTGTCACCCCTATGATGCCATCCCCATGTCCATAAGGCTTCCTCCCTATTGCATCGGACACCTTAGGGTGCGGGAGAAGAGGGAGGGGGAGGGAGAGGGAGGGAGAGAGAGGGAGGAGAGGGAGGGGGGGGAGAGGGAGGGAGGAGAGGGAGGGAGAACTCTCATGGCTGTCGGCTTCGTAGCGGTGACAGAGTTTGAAGACAACTGAGGGAAGACACCGTAGGTATTCTATTACCGATCAGCATTTTTGCGGGAAAACTTAAAAAAAAAAAAAAAAAAAAAAAGGGCGATGACCTTGAGGTATTATCATCGGACTAACCAGCCCAGTTACCTGGGCGGGAAAACTCTCATGGCTCAGATGATTTATTTTTGTCGTTATTTCTTAATAATGAACTCATGTTTTATTATTTATTTATTTATTTATTTATTATTCTCTTTGTTTATTCGACTTTATTGATCTCATGACTCGTTATTCTCCTTCCTTTATTATACTATTAATTAATTAAAATATAAAAGTAATAATTCATTATTTATTTTCGTTACTTTCTCTCTTTATTTATTCCGGTTACTTGTGCTCGCTTTAATTATTCTCTTTATTTACCCTTTATTCATTTTATTTTCTTTTCTTGACCTTCCCGTCGGCGGCCAATGCCAAGCCAAGCCGATTGAGTGCATTGTTTCACTAGCACTTTTTCAGCTGAATGTAGCCGTTAATGCTGTCCGTGTACATCCTCGAAACTCCTACCGGTAGTGGTGGTCCCAACGTTG